CAGACAGGTGTAGACAGACAGACAGGTGTAGACAGACAGACAGGTGTAGACAGACAGACAGACACAGGCAGACAGGTGTAGGTACCTCTTGTTCCGGGTTCTTCTTCCCCAGTCTAACAGCTTCTTCTTCACTGAGCGTCTCAGACGGTGAGAACAGAGGAGCCAGACGCTCCTCACACATCTTCAGGTGTTCGTTCACTGTCCAATCAGAGCACAGCGCCATCAGCATCATCATCATCATCATCTGAGGCGCTGCTTTACCCAGTCTGACCGTCTGCAGACGTTACTCTGCTGTGATTGGTCCTCTGACTCACCCTCAGTGGGCGTGATCTTGGCCACGGGCAGCGGTCCTCGTACGTGGATCAGGCCGCAGCGGTGCGGCATCTCGTCCTCGGCCGGATACTCGCAGAAGTTGTAGTAATCCACGGAGTGAACGAGGCGCAGGTAGAGCAGCAGGCGGTCCAGGACCTGGACACACGGCGCCGTCAGAACCCACCTTCAGACGGCGAGGACAGAGCAGGACAGAGCACCCACCTTCAGCAGCTTCTCATCCGTTTCCACGGGAACGTCGGAGGAGGCGGGGTTTTCCTCTGCGTTTCCTCCCGAGGCTCCGATTAGCTCCTCCTCCTCGGCGCTGACCTCCTCGATGAGGTAGTCTGTGATGTTCTTTAGAACCGGGTTGGTCTCCGCCTGCAGACAGAGCGTTCCTGAGGCATTCTGGGTAATGTCTGAACCAGGCGGCGGTTCTGGTGGGTCGGTACCTGCTGGCTCCACAGCTCCCCCCTCTGGTCCAGGCTGTGGATGAGCCGCGCCGACAGCCGGATGTCGTTCCTCACCACCGGCCTGTGGTGGGTCAGCCCGTTGACGGTCCGAACCCGCCGGCTCAGGTCCCGGTTCACCACCGGCGCCAGCTCACAGTCCCTGAGCTGGGAGGGGAACAGAAGCAGCCGTTAGCGCCGCGTTCTGAAGGTTCTGATGGAGCGGGGGTTCTGCAGGTTTACCCGGATGTTCTGAAGGTTCCAGCAGGTCTCCTTGATGTTCACGCTGCGATCAAACGTCACCCAGCACCTCCTGAAGAACCTGCAACACATCCAGACCCGTTACACTGGTTCTGCTGCCAGACCCGGTTTGTTCAGAACCAGAAGTACCTTCTCTCTGGCTGAGGGTCTGACAGCGCCACCCGCAGGAAGCCGGGGAACCTGCGACACAACTGCAGACAGAAGCAGGTTAGTCTGGCGTCCATCAGAACCACGGCGGAGCGCCATGAACATCGGGATCTCCCCGCTGACCCGGTTCTGCTGTAAGGAACCGCTTCCTTACAGCAGAACCGGGTCAGCAATCCCTCCTGGGATTTGAACCCTCGACCGTCCGTACCGCTGTGATCTCCTCCTTGGAGACGTCTGGAGGGAGGCTTCTGATGAACAGGGAGGTGGTGAGGTGCAGTGGGCGGGGCTTGGGCGGAGCTTCCTTCTGTCGCTCTGGAACAAACAGGAAGACGTCCTGAACTGGACCGGAACCAGAACCTGCCCGCTGTCCCCGTCTGAGCTACATACCTTCATCTCCTTCCTCCTCCTCTTCCTCCTTCTCTCCGTCAGAGTGGGAGGAGTCAGAGTCGGAGACGCTGCCCTCGCCGCTGTCCGCCGACAGGCTCCGTTTCCTCTTCCTGCCCTGAGAGGAAGAGGCGGGGTTACCGTCTGCTCCATCGATGACATCACTGATGATGACATAAACTCACCTTCTTCACCGTTTTCTCCTCCTCTTCGTCCTTCTTCTCCTCCTCCTCCTCGTCTTTCTCCTCTTCTGGACTCCTGCTGCCTCCGTGGTTCTGACAGAGAGGAACATCAACATCAGGCTGACCCGTTAATAAACGGTACTGATCCAGAACCTGATGGGTCAGAACCGGTCCTGACCGGACCTGTTGGATAAAGTGATCAGTAACCCCGGATTCTGCTGGTTCTGTCTGACCCGCAGTGTGAAGCTGGGCGTTCTGGGATTCCCTCAGGTAGCAGTCGGGTCCAGTGGACCCAGACTGATGTTCTGACCCAAACTCTGCTCTTCAAACTGACGGCTGCTCTCCATGGTGCTGGAATTTATACCCAGCTCCTAAAGCTCTCTTTGGTTCTGGTATCAGGTTGGAGGTTCTGGGTCGGAATCAGCCCGGGTCAGAACCACTAAGGTTCTGATCCAACAGGTTCCTGAAGATGAAGGTGAAGCTTCAAGCATCTGGTTCAGGACTGACTGGGCCACATCCTGCTGCTGCTCACTGCCTGCCAGCTGGCTGATACTGAGGATGGGTAGAACTACGGTTCGAGTCCTCCTGACCCGCAGGTCACCTTGAGATAAAAGAATATTAATCATTCATAACCGCCTCGTTAAACCCCAGCCTGTCAGACGATACTCAGGGCGGTAACACGTCAGGGTAAAGAACAGGGAGGAGCAGACGTAACGTCTGATCTCTAAATGACAGCTTTCTATGACCTAATGATCCAGTAACAAACGTCAGGAGGTAGCAGGGATGGTGGAGGTCACCTTTAACCCCTACCAGGCAGAGACCTTCTCCTCGGCTCCAATCAGGCGGATCTCCTCAGCGTACCACCGTGGTGTGGATCTGTTCATGAGCGAGCGCTACAGTAACACCTGAAAACGTTTAGCATGAAGCCCCAGAAACAAAAAGCCTCTGAACAGATGAAGGCTGGTCTTCATCCACAGAATATTACCTGTCAAACACCGACCCTACCAGCCATTTGACTCCAAGTAGCACTAATCTCCACTCTGAGATGAATAAAGTTCTATTCTATTATTCTATTCTACAAGCTGAGAGACAAAACAAACTTTCCTTTTTGATAAAGCTTCTAGTTAGAGTGGCTCAGGTT